AGCTGGACCTTACGGCCTGCACAGGTGGGACCTTGCGCCATGTGAAAATGCTGCCACGGGCTCAGTCCTGATTGGGCCCCTGGAGGGTGGTGGGAGCAGGCCATCCCCCCCCCCCCTCCCCCTGCACCTCTCCAAGTGCGGAAGCAGCCAGTTCAGGAAGGGAGGGAGTTCAGCACCATATATGACCAGCGATCTTGAATGAATCTTGAGGAAAGGCTGGGAGAGTTGGGTCTGTATAGCCTGGGGAAGAGAAGGCTTAGAGGGGACACGACTGCAGTCTTCAAGTATCTGAAGGGCTGTCATGTAGAAGATGGAGCAGATCTATTCTCTCTTGCTCCGGATTGCAAGACTAGATCCAATGGGTGGAAACGACAAGGGGGTCGATACCGGCTAAATCTCAGGAGAGACTTCCTAACTGTGAGAGTGGTTGAGCAGTGGAACGGACTGCCTCGGGAGGTGGTGGAGGCTCCTTCGCTGGACGACCATCTTCCGGGTATGTCGTAGGGCTCTCTTTCGGCTGTGCTCCTGCAGAGTGCGGGGGGCTGGACTAGATGACCTGCAAGGTCCCTTCCAACTTAAACCACTAAGCCTTCTCTTTCCCAGGCTAAACAGACCCGACTCTTTCAGCCTTTCCTCGTAATTAGACTTGGATTCCAACCCTCTCGCCATCCTGGTTGCCCTCTTCTGGACACTCTCGAGCTTGTCAACATCCTTCCTAAAATGTGGTGCCCAAAACTGGACACAGGACTCCAGGTGAGGCCTGACCGTAGGAGAACAGAGCGGAACGACCACCTCCCGTGACCTGGACACAACGCTTCTGTTGATGCACCCTAAGACTGCATTCGCTTTCTTCGCAGCCACATCGCACTGCAGGCTCACGTTTAGCTTGTGATCAACCAGAACACCCAGGTCCCCTTCACAGGTACTGCTGTCAAGCCATCTTACAGCAGCAGAGCCCAGGTGAGCGGAAGCAGAGCTCCCGGAGCAGCCTCCTGCGGGCTCTTGGATCCCATCGGCCCCCCCAGGCTGAAGGAGCTGCAAGGACGGGGACGACAGGCAGTAATGGTGCCGAGTGCTAATCTGCCCACACCACTGGGGGGAGCTGCTCCTCAGCCACCTCCCCCCCCCCGCCACCTCGCTGGCTTCTTCACGCTGGGCCTGGGCGTTCCCTGGGTCGGAGCCTCCACATCCGTTGACAGAAGGCGGCCAAGATGACTCTCCCTCCACTGGGCAGGCCAGGTCGTGTCCAGCTCCTTTCCCAAGAGTGCCTGGAGCCCGCCAACGCCTGGATGAGGTTAACTGGGCCCATCACCAGACTGACTTAATCCGTCGTGGATTTTGCCCTGCTCATGGTTTGTGATGGGTCTACCGCCAAGAACTTCCACGAACCTTTAAAGCGGTTCGTGGTGGGAGCAGAGTGCAGGGGTCTAAAGAAGAGGAGGAGGAGGAGGAGATTGGATTTATACCCTGCCCTTCACTACCCAAAGGAGTCTCAGAGCAGCTTACAAACTACTTTCCCTTCCCCTCCCCACAACAGACACCCTGTGAGGTAGGTGGAGCTGAGAGAGCTCTTGACAGAAACTGCTCTTTTAGGAACAGCCCTGACAGAGCTTGTGACTGACCCAAGGTCTCATCAGCAGGTGCATGTGGAGGAGTGGGGAATCAAACCCGGTTCTCCCAGATTAGAGTCCGCGCACCAAACCACGACACCAGACTTGGAGTCCCTTCCCGTCCCCAGCAGTGGGGAGGCGCTCTCTGCTGCTCGGCTGTTTCATGGCCGCCTGGTGCAGTCCCTTTAAACTTCAAAGGGACTCCATAAGACTGCCTGAAATACAGCTGTGTGGCGGGGGGGCACTCCACAATGCTCAGCCGTTTCAGGGCTGCCAGGTGCAGTCCCTTTAAAAGGACGGCACAAGGCAGCACTGCAGGCCAAACCAAGCGGCACTTTCCCGGCTTGTGCCCATCCCTCCTCTCGGCACCTGACACGGGTGGCAGGCAGCCATTGGGTTAGGCCACATGGATCCTCCTCACTGACAGATTAAATCTTGCTGGGGTAAAATCACTCCCCAAAGTGACCATAGAAAGACCCCTGTGCCCAAGGATGACCCGGTCACGTACAAGCCACTTTCCACTCCACCTCTCGGAGACAGAGTCCACCTCCCCCCCCCGGGGGGTCCGGTTACTTCATACGGAGGAAGCTGCCCTCCGCGGGGTCGTCTAGCCCCAAGAGGCTTCACTCAGGACAGGACCAACAGGGACCTTTCCAAACCCCTCCCTCCGCCTGGAGGCTGGCCTAGAGCCGGCCGGCCGGTTAACAGGGGCTGGTCCCCCCCCCTCACAAGGCAGGCCGCCCTCAGGGTCCCCTGCAGCCCCCCCCCCCCGAATGCTCCCAGAGGGACAGAATCCTGCGCCCCATATGTGTGGGTCTCTGCCCTGTTGTGCGCACACACACACACACCCTGGCCACTGGCCTCCGGACACTCTGTCAGGTGTTTGACTGGGAACAGATTTTATTCCCCCCCCCCCGTGAGAGAGGAGCTTTCATGCAGAGTCCACAGCGCACTCTCCTCCTCCACATCTCGCTCACCCGCCAGAGGGAAGGCCGCTGCCCCCCAATCCTTGTCCACTAGGCCATCGTCCTGCCCATGCAAAGGGGCCCGTTTGTGTCCGGAGTCCGAAAGGTTGACCTGGAGAGATGCTCTTGGCCCACCAGCAACCCTTTTGGCCTGGCTGGAAACTGGGGTGACGTGGCCTTGCCTGGCACGGATTGGGAGCAGCAACGCGGATGTAGACGACCCCCCCCCCGAGGGCAGATGTGGGATGCCCAGGCCAGCTGCCCCAGAGGCACAGCACCGGGTTCCAGCCCCACGGCAGGGCAGCAGCGTCCATGCAGCCGTGGGAAACGACAGGGCAGTCCCCATCCGGCCTCCGCCGCGGCAGTCCTGGCGAGGAGCCCCACCCAGGAGGTCCTGGCTGCCCGCCGAGTCCACGGGAAGGTGTTGAGAGAAGCTGCCGCAACACGGCCACCGACCCGACCCCACCGCTTGGACCTGCAGCCAGGAGCCGGACCAAGCCCCACCGCTACTCGGCGGGGATCGGCGTGTTGCAGTTGCCGTGGTAGATCCTGACGTGGCCGTCGCACTGGAAGTAGCGGTCGAAGACGTCACTGTAGCCGTGGTCCCGCCACCAGGAGCAGAGCTGCCGGTTCCAGGTGCAGTCGAGCGGGTGGAAGAGTCCCGGGTGCTCCATGCCGGCCAGCGTGAAGAAGTCCTGGTCCCCGAGGTGGCCCTTGAAGTGGTACTTCTCCGCCAGGCGCCGCACCGCCTCCGGCTCCAGCAGGCGGTTGTAGAGGGCGGACTGGCGCATGGCCTCCAGGTCCAGCAGCAGGACGCCGCTGTTGAAGCCGGGCAGCCCGTCTGGAGGGGGCTCCCCTACTTTGGTCCCGGGGTGCTCCTGGCGGTACTGCCAGAAGATGTGCCTGGGGGACAGGTGGGGGGGGGAGAGGCGGGGTGAACTTCTGAGAAGCAGGAAGGGGGCAGGGTCAACCTCGTGGCCTGCCAGCTCCGCCCAGAGCCTCCCTGCCGGGCCCAGGCTTGCCCCTCGCCGGGTGCCCCAACTGGCCAGCTCTTCCCGAGGCCCAGCCCTGTCCCTGGGCCTCCCCATTCCAGCCGGGGAAGTGGCTGTTAGCCTCCCCTTCACCCACGTGGCGGCCGAAGCCCTGCCTGTCGTCCCTCAGGCCTGACACTGGCCCTCTCGGGAGCAAGGCCTGCCACGGACTAGCCTGGCAGACGTCCGTCTCCTCCAACAAGGGCCCTCCCACGGGGGGCAAGGCAGTCAGAGAGCAGCCCAGAGGCCCACGGGGGGTGCCGCCACGGCCGGGGGCTCCAAGGACACTCCCGGGCTCCCTCCCACAGGGCCCTGTGTTCACACACCCCTCCCTTCCAGAGCAAGGGACCCAACACCCCCTCCGGCCCAGGGAGAACGGAGTCAGCCCCACCCCCGGGGAGGCCCGGGAGACGGCCCAGACAGCCGCCCCTGCAGAGGAAACGGAGCCGGGGGGGGGGGGGCACG